GCAAAATCCTTCTGCAAGAGGGCCCGTCAAACAGAATCCTGGGCCATAGAGGCATCATGCCGACGGTGCTTTTTTAATATGCTGGGAGGTGTCGGCCAAGGTGTCAACGTTCCTTCGGCAAGAGGGCCCGTCAAACAGGGGTGCTTAACATGTTTGTGTATAGAGGCGTCCGTCAAGCAGAATCAAAACGACGGTGCCTTTGTGTATGCTGGGAGGTGTCGGGCCAGATGTGGAAGGTGGCTGCCGAAGAAAATCCTTCTGCAAGGGGGGCCGTTCAAGCGGGATCCTTGGCTATAGAGGCGTGCGTCAAATGCCGACAGTTCTTTCCTTTATGCAAAGGGCTGGGTACCCATCGAACAGAATCCGTGGCTACAGGGCCCGTCAAACAGAAGTTGGAAGCCGAACGAGTTAACTTAGCGAAGAACGAAAAAGCGAACCAACAACGGCAGACAACGTCACAGTCACAGACAGGAACTACGTCACAGAGTACGCATATATATATATGTGGTCCGCAGCCGGTCCGCATATATATATATATATATGGTGAGCATCGTGACAGTAGCCAAAAGTTGGATTTCAAAACCGAAGATACGGACAATGGGTGTATCCGACCTTGAACACAAAGCTTTCTCCGCAACTTTGTAGCTATGGCTCAGCACAGCCCCTGAAATTGCATTCTCTTTGGGAGGAGTTGGATCAGGGTGAAGCATGTCACAGCCCTGTCTAGTTTGAAGATCTTCTCATAGAGCTTGGTCTCAAGGTAGGCCATCCATGGTTGACAAGGTTTGGAATCTTTCGAATCCTGCCACGAACAATTCACATGGGCACATGACCGCGACATGCGTGTTGACAATTTCCCTTAGGAGGCTCGTGTTCCATGGTTGCACATGGTTGCACATGGTTGCACAACAAACGCAACAATGTCATTTGCACTGCAGTCCTTATAACCAAGAGCTTATATGTAGAAACGCATATGTCTAATCAGTCCAACCACTGCTACGGCTACCACCGGTACTCGCATGCTATTGGAGTGGGAATATAGTACAACAACGCCCAGTCCTACGACGACTAGACGACGACTACCACGATAACCACGACTATATAGTACGCAGTGGAATGTAACAAACGATACGCACTGCCGGACGAAGCGTTCGCCATGTTTCGGGTTGAAGTCAACAAAGACGGCGAAGTATGTGTGGTCTTCAATATCACCATTCGGCCGCATTGACACCGGTGCGGCTTGGAGGGAGGTATTCTGCAGGTTGCGGCGGATGTTGATTGGAGTTGGTTGATCCCCCATGATGTTCGGACTAAAAATTGGAGGGGTTGACGTGTGTAGAAAACGGGCAGTCTTTAGTCTCAAGGTAAACTCACTGGGAAGGGGTCAGGTATGGCCTTTTCTACTGACATGTAGGTCACCAGAAAATGAGGATCACAGGTCTCATAGGCATGCTGGCAGGGTCATTTTCTAGACATCACCTTGTTTCTTGATCCTACCGGGATTCTCATTTTCTAGCAGGGTTCCTCACTTTTTAGCAAAGATGAGGAGCATTCTGCCTGTCATTGAAGCATGTGTTGGACAGTGTATCCAGCATTTATGCCAGACTGAATTCCCGAATATTGGCCAAATATATCCAAATTTGTCATTCATCGATATAATGTGTACCATTGTGACCCAACAGATTAACTCCTTGAGACAGAATGCCAGATAGAATGTCAGAGTTTACGCCAGGTAAAATGCATGAATTTGTGCCAGAATGCGAGAGATAGAAATGCCACTACATGCCAGATAGAACGCCAGAGCTTTTCTGTAGATAGAACGCCGCAATATATTCCAGTTTGATGCCAAAATATTTGCCAGATAGAATGCCAGCACATGCCAGAGAGAGTGTCAGAGTATACGAGATAGAATGCCAGGATATACTTGTTTTCTTTAATGGCACGAAATATGTTGGAGTTCATGTCAGAGCACATACCAGGACCGAAGTCAGCCATATGTCACAGCACATGTCAGACTTCACGGCAGGAAAATGTCAGAGCACATCCCAACCAGGACGTCAGAACACTGTCCAGAACATTTCCCGTCCTTTATGATAGATCATGTGTCGGAGGAGATTTGATGCCAAAACAAGCGTCAGAAGTCAATCCACATATCCGCCTTTTCTGTCAATACATGTGCCCTGTCTTCTTCCAAATCGCCTCTCAGGGTGGGATCGCTCGAAGTTGAAAGGCTCCAACTGTTCAGAGGTTTTTATGTGTGAAAAGCCGGGTGTGTCATGTGAGAAGGCGCTGAAAGCACAGCCGCTGCAAGCTTGAGGTGTAGAGAACAGGGTCCATTGGCCCACGGCCATGTAGGAACCAATGAAAACCCGAAAAGCATTGAAAGGGGGTTGGTGACATCTTTGTTACCAACATGCTGATCTGGCCGACTAGGTTCAAAACCAAATGTTTTTGGCCAATGTCAATAGTAGTGATGACATATGACATTGGTTTCTCTGGTCCGTTATATTTGTGGTGTAACGCTGTTGTGAGGCGAAAACTTTTGGGTAAGGCGTGCACTTGCTTAAAAGATGAATTTAGTTTGAAACGATTTGCGACAATGGACATCTGTACTGTATTTTCTGATGACCTCAGAGGCAATTCTTGTCAATGTCCAATCAGATCTGACCTGGCGGGGTCAGCGTTGTTCAACATCTTTAAACCCTAGGGTTGCAACTACTTCCGTTTCGAAGGTGATTGGGGTGGGTGCCAGGCAAGTGATTTTCTGAGAAGGTAGGACTGTAGCCCTAGGGATTTCTCTATTCAGCCCAAAAGTTTTTTCGAAGTCCCTGAGTTCCGCTGCAGCAGGTGTCAAAACGAGCTTTAGCAGAGGCAGGGCCCGGCAGGGCGTCGTTCATGACCCTTTGGGTCAAATGTTCCGTGCCATGCCTTTCAAGGAACATATCAATCCTGACACCCACTCTCTCATGCCACCAGTAGTTTGTTTAACGGAAAGTGTATGAAAGGATCAATATATATATGGGCTGGGTGTTTTTTTTAATGAACCTGACGCATAAAAAAACATCCCCCATCCTGCAGCATACAGAAAAGAACTGTGAGCATAAAGAAAACAACTATTCATATTAAGTACATTTGTTGGTGACCCACATGGACCCACCATGATAGGATCAATCCATGTTTTATTTGTTTAACCACGTCCTTCCAAATTGTTTCGTTGGGTTTCGATTGCGGGAGATGGGCTCCAGGTGGTAAATCCTCGTCCCAGCCTCTCGAAGTACAGCGACAGAAGTGATCAACAGGAAGGTCAGAAGAATGCTTAAGAATATATACACACACTATTTAGTTTCAGGTTGTTCCTTTTCAAATGGCTCATCATCCAGTGAGGCCCCTCACGTGAACCAGCCAGAAGAACCTGTGTTGATTTTTTTTTGAAGGTTTTTCGTATCGTCTCATCATCTCCCTCAAGTGAAAGTGACTGCGTGGGGTTTTGCAATCAGCTGTTTTCTTGGTTAAAGCGTGTCCTCCATTATATATATATACCAGACACTCCATGTATGCCATATATGCCTACATTGGGGTGGTTTTGGGGGTCAATGTAGGCATGTATGGCAGTCCCATGGAGTGTTTGGGTATATATATATATATGATAGATTATATGGATCCAAGCATCCAACCTCAGAATGAGTCACATGCATGAACATCCCTTTGGAACCGGCCGCTTTTACAGACACCGGCCGCGATGTTGCCTTGTGTTTTCACAACGGCCTTGACCGGGATCCCGAGCTGAGCACTCCGGAGAGCGTTAACGAGAACAAGCTTGGCACAAGCCAGAAAAAGATCCTGGAGTTGAAACAAGCCCTTTATTTGAAACGCATAACAGGACCTCTTCAGGTCTGCTTGCAGAGAGGTTCTTTTTCAGTGGTTTCCGCGATAAGTATACTTCAAATGATTTTTACAAAATGCTATTAAGGCCACAAAAGATATCCACCCAAAGACAGAGTGACGGATTCCTGAAAGATTCTTGGACTGGAAGTTGCAGTTCAGCTCACCCAATCAACACATGACATCATGTCCAGGATGCAGAAACATGTCAGCTGAATCCTCAACGCATGCAGTCTGCAAATGAAGAATAATGAAGACATGACATACTTCAACCTTCTTACTGTATAGAATTAGCTGTACAGGACAAAAACACTTCTTTAGCTACCCTTAGCTGCCTATATATGCGTTTAAGTTGCAATCTCTTTGCTCCACTGCGCGACACCGCTGCGACACCCTTCGCGTGGACGGCCGAGCCGAGCCGCAGGCGCAGCGCACGATGGAGGCGGCGGCGCGGAAGCTGCGCATCGACAGCTCCATGTGTCGTCCGCAGACGCCGCTCGGTGGAGCCGGCGATGGGGGAGTCGGCGTGGCGGACGGCTGTGGAGTCGGGCCATGGGGAGATGGAGCGAGGTTCTTGGTGCATTTTCCAGAATGTTGCTTATAGATTTGTGATTTGTTCTCTTGAACTTTGTTCCTTTTTTTGGGGGGTGGCTTCAAGACAGGACCTTTTTGACAACAGGATTCTTATATATTCTTATAATATTATTGTCATTCAAGGGAGGTGTGATGCCTTTGAGACAGACCTTGACATGATAGGAGTTGTACCTGTTTGTGGTGGGAGATTGCCATGTGCTCGCCGAGTTTTCAAAGGAAGTGATTGCTGCGGCAGCATGTGACGTGCCGCTGCAGGCCATGGACTTCAAAGACATTTCTTGGGCCAATGAATTCCGAGTGGTACGGGCTTGCGAGTCACTTGTGGTGACTTGCAGCCCCTCACGAACAAGGAGACGGATGATTTTTCTGCTGAGGTCTATCCAGCCAGCCTTTTCATACATATCTTAGATGTAACGACTCCGGCAACCCCTGGAAAGGAGATGGATGTTCTGGAAGAGACTTGTCGCTGGCTGCGCTATTTCAGCATTTGTAGCCTCGTGAGAAAGAGGATACATCCAGGGCGGTTTTGCTTGCTGCTGGAATTTAGCTGCGAAGCGTTTGAAGCAGGTCATCATTTCCAAGAAGCATCAAGTACATCATGATGTGTCATAGCAAGTGACCTTGAAGCCTCTACAGCAGAGGATTTTTTTGAACACGTCTCACTTGCTGCGGCCATACATTTGTCGAAGATTGTTGATGGCCACATTTGGAGTCACTGCCTGAACCAAAGATTAGCATGCTCGAGACACAGAGTCCGTCGGTCTTGGGCCTTTTCGCCAAGTTGCTGGGTACCTGGTGCCGCTCAAGCGAAGATAGCTTAGCTTTGATTGCTCCTGGTGGTAATTAGATGTAATGTGTGTTTTAATATGTTCTAATACATTGGCAAGCCTGAATTTCATCCCCAGGTGTGTGAACTCCAGTTTGTGTCAGGCATCTCAGGCATCTCTTGTAGAAGGAACCTTGGCATGATACACTTCAGTTTTATCAGTGCGGTTTCACCAGGTATGGATGTGGAATTGGAGCTGTCTCTATTCCTTTTTTGCAGAGTTGCCTGAAGACAAGAACAAAAGATAAGAAACGATGATGTCAAAAAAACGGGACACGGGAAAGGGAGGGCGGAAGAAGAAGAAACAATTGGTTTCTCGCACAACGGACTGAGTTATAACAGTTAGACACCTTCTTGATGTCCCGCCAACAAACTCTACAGAAGGACAACTCAGCTTTCCCAGCATCCCAAAACTTTTGCGGAGAAACGCGCCACGGTTCCGTCGGTGCTGTTGGTCACTCCAAGTCTCGGACTGCCCGTCTTCAGGGGCTGCCACAGTCGAGGTACAAAGAGGTGCCTGCTTATCCAACAGAGGTTGAGAGACCATATAGGACGCTGTAGTGGTACATATGGGATGGGCGAAAAAAGGGCTGTTCAACCTCTCTAGGTATCCATGCACTGCCCACTGAAAACCACCCGCTCGAATTGTGACTCCTGATGAGAGGTTTTACGGTCGCGACCCGTTGATCATCGGGTCTGGGGCTGGACCTGGGTGCATGTGGCTGGACCTGGGCTTCTATGATTCTGTTTCGAACCCACGGTGATTTCCAACTGTTGAGACAAGCCCATCAGTCCATCTTTGGGACGATGCAGGTTCTGGTCGGCTCACATCTCGGCGACATATGGCACTTTGAGACTCTTCCAACCCCTCCAACCTCCAACGCGAAGTGGCGACCCCAGGCTCGACCGCATGCTGAGCTGCGAATCACAGCTGGACAGCATGCTCCATGTGCAGTGCGTCCACCAAAGGGGGATGGAGGTGGGATGAGGTGGGAAATGATCTCAAATAAATCAACCAGGTTTCAGTCAGTTCAGTTCAGATTGGACAAGTTACGAAACCCTGGACTAGCCCGGACTGATTTGGAGTTCACTACCATGACGACAACCCTGACATCGAATGAGCTTTCCGCACATCTGGGAAGAACCCTAGGAGTTGTTTCCGAATTGCGTGCCACAGGGGCCTTTTCTTGGAACAGACTTACACAGTTCTTGACTTCTTGAGCTGTAGAACTACCAAAGTGAGTGAACATCGCCAGGTTTCTACTATTCTGGCTATCTATACGAATCTTTAACAATTCTTAATACAGTTGTGCCGGCCTAATCAATACTCCTAGACAGACTGTGAGAGCCCACGCATTGGGCTCTACCTGACGAACCCGGGACCTTGAGACGCACAATGACCTCCTGTTTCATCCGAAGGTACCTGCAACTGCTCATACCAATGAACCATTTCATACCATTTCCATCAATTGTTTGGCTCGTAAAGAACATTTGCCCATCGATTCCATTTGCCACGAGCTCTCCATGGGATTGTTGTTTGACGTCAATGGTGTGGACATCCCAACCTTAATTAATGCGACTGATACCGATACCAAACCCTTGTTTCTGCACCGTGTCCACCTTCGCCCATGCGACATGGCACCTCGTACTATCAGGCGACCCCGTCGATGGTAAAACAAAACTCTTAAGAAAACACAAACCAAAGCTCAAAGAGAAGCCCACGCTTTCAAATGACCCTTGCATTTTCGGACCCTATACGCCCACACCGAGGGATGGGCTACGCGAGATGGCCGGCGAGGCACTTGGCCTGATGCGCTTCCGCCGGGGCGCTTGCACCGGTGAACGACGGGTGGGTTTCGGGTGACGGCTTCGGACTGGCGTGTGAACGGGCAAAACAGGTGGGATTCTGAGAAAGAGATGGTTTGAATTGGAACAAAAGAGGGTGGAAAGAACCTTGTGAGAATATGTGAATCATATGTGAATCATATGTAGGTCCGCACGATAGACATCAACCATATTCAAAAATGAACACGAACCCGATGCCATTTCATCACAAGACCTCCAACCGAATCCGAAGCTTCCAAAGACTTCGCGCGAGTCGGTGCCAAGATCCGGCTTTTCATTGAGAAAACCCTGTTACGGATGTTACCGGACGGACTTTTTGCTGTGCAGCTGTGCCTTGTTTCGGGGGGTATGTCTCAGGGTTTTGCTCGGCGAACGTCTTTCACTTTGCTGCCTGTTGGCAACTGAACTGGCAAGTCGGCAGATGTGGGGGTTCACACCAACATCCTGAGGCCTCCTCACGTCGGAGGGCATGGAATTTCAGCCCCTTGGTATGACGCGGTGAGGGTGTCCGGATGAGGTTTTTGGGTCCACATGCACGTGGGTCCAGTTCTTTTGGAGGGTCCGAGATGTTTTGGAAAGCATGGGTTGGTTTTATGGTCGTGTTGCCGCAGAGGGCTCTTTCTGAGGCTCCACGGCTCCCTCGTTGAGGATGCCTCAACGGGGACAAAGACGATGTTCGAAGAATCACGATGCATCGACTCTTATTTTCCAATCCGCACTTTTCTCAACCTTAATTTCCTTGACTTTTGAAATTTAGCTTCCCCATGCTTCCCCTACAAAAAATCCAAGATCACGCTGTCTTTTGGGAGAATGCAAAGCAAATTGGAACTGTTGTCAATGTTGTGAATGACTCACGATCTCCCCCACTACGCATAACCTCACATCGATGCCCCGATGAGCAATGCCAGGCCTTTCTGGGGATAGGCATGGATGAGATATGATCATTGCGAAAGCCAGCCGATAGGCTAGGCTTAATGAAATCGTTCATTGTAGAGAGAGCCTGTTTTCAACTTAGTCAGTCCCAAACGTCAAAGTCAACAATAGTCAAATCATAAAGTTTCAGAAAGTCAAAAAAAAGTCAATTGGCCCAGATCCGACCTTGTCTTGACTTTTTTTTGAGACCTTTTCCGACTTTAAAAAAAATCATGTGTTTCGATTTGTGTTTGACTTTTTGTTGATTTTTTTGGAACTAGTTGTTTTTGCTTTGACATGTTTTTTTTGTTTCTTCGATTTTGTTTAAATAAATATATATACATCTAGGGCCCAATGAAGGGAAGTGGAACTCCTACCTCTAAAACGTCCCAGTTTGGTGTGCCACCCCGGCGTTCTTTGTTTCCACTGCACAGCTCGACTCATGGAATGAATGGGGGGCAATGGCCGCACCTCAGCAACACGATCCGATAGCCCGGTTGTCTTCCTTTCAACCAGAATCGGTGGTCTCCTCAAATTTGAAGCACCAAAGGAACCTCATCTACAAACCGCAATTTCTACACCTCGCGATGGTGTCGGTTGGGTCCCAGATATATCCCCTGGTAAAAAAAAACCCAATGTCAAAGTGTATGGTTTTCTCACATTGTGTCCACCAGACTTGAGTGGGGTTGTGGGAGGTGAAACCCTGAACCGGTGTCAGGTAAAACTACTTCTACGATTGTAGTACATCACAAATACGGGTCCACCATCCCACGATTGCGCCCTCACGTCAATACCACTATTCTTTTCTCGCGTAGCGCCTTCGGCGTCTGTTGATAGACGATAGATGCTGCAATTGGCATATGAATACACTGTTCAGAAATTCAAAAATCAAATGAATCTTCCATCATCTCGTTGAGTTCATCGTCATCCGGCCACAAGAGATCTTCCGCTGCAGCCGCTGCTGTCTCTGAGATCCTATGGGCCTTGAAGGCGTCCGCTCCGGACGACTCACCCTGTGGCTCCTGATCTGGCCGCAAGATCGCAGCCGCTGCAGCCACTGGTGTATCTGAGATCATATGGGATGCACAGGCGTCCGAATCAGCCTGTGGCTCCTTGCCAGGTAATCCGAGAATACCCAGCCCAAGATCAAGCGCCAGTTGGGAATGCAGTTGTGGAGGGAAACGGAACATGAACAAAGCACAAGATTTAACAGTGCATAATGTTGGAAATATAGCCTCAGCGACAAAACATCAGATGTAACACCGCACAGTGTGGGAAGCAATTTCAGTAACAAAAAACTCAACCTTGAGAAGGGCCATTCCAGCAAAAAAGTAAAGTTGCGAAGGGCCAGGCATTCCAGAAAAACACTTTCCAACTTGGAATTTCCAACAACCAAAACATAACGTTGGGAAGGGCCATTCAAAGGAGATTCAATGAACCTCGCTGACCACCTGCGTTACACACTTTTGGGGGGCAATACACCTCCCTTGGATGGCGCTTCGTAACGTTACGTTGTTACCCTTGCACGTTGCTTCCCTGTCCTTGAACAGCTTGTTTGGGCAGTCAACCCAAACAGTTCTCCGATCAATTGCAGCCTGATGACTGGAATGAAAATACTCTGGGGGCCAAAACTGTGGGACTTCATGGTTTGTAGTGAAGATCCTTGGCGTTTGCGCTGGAATGTGTCCGTCAGAGCAACGGTTGTGCACATCGCGTGCGTGAGTCACATCGCACCAAGCTTTCGCATCATCAATGCTCACTGTCCTGAAACAAGCCTCATCGACAACAAGTCCCTCACCTGGGTGCACGGTGATCTTATGCATCTGATCAAGCTTGCTGACAAAGTGGATGCCAGCGCGGCATGTGGACAAAAGCACGGATATAGCCATTTCAGTCTTCCCAGTCCCAGGCGGACCACGCAGGATTAAGGTATGGGTGAGGGATTGGGTCTCCTTCCACTGCAGGACCCGTGGAGGTACATCAAAGTGCTCCAAAGGAAAGCGTGGTGAGGTGATAAGAGTTGAAGCCCCCAAGGTTTCAGGTCGGTGCCACGCAGCCAAGATTTTCTGCACTTCCGCAGCTGGATCCCGAAGCTGCCCCACATGGTCCCAAACCAAAGAGTTGCCACGCATCTTTTCCTCTTTGGCGGCCTGACGATGAGAGGGAATTATAAACAAAGCACTTTGGGCATGACCACAAAACCCGCGGCATCCCCAACGAAGTGATTGGACCAAACATTGGACTGCCTATGATGCACCTTGTCGTTCCAACCGCGTTGTTTCTACCAAGGAGGATGCTTATCTAAGACTGATATTACGCTTGATGGAAAACAGTCTCCAGATTGTATGTGTGCCAGGCCTTCCATAGCTCTGCCACTGTTGAAATCTTCCTTTCGACAACAAAGTCTGTAAGCTCGCTAAAAGACATGCGCTGGCGTCGTTTCTGCAAGGCCTCCGACGGACCTTTCTGCAGCCCCTCATTCTTCTTTCTGCCAGCCACCTGCGAGGACATCCCTGCAAGCTCGCCATCAGCTTTCTGCTTGGTGTAACTTGACGGATAAAACACAAGGTCACGGTCTAAATCATGCGCTGGTTTCTTTGCGCTCTCCATCATCAGGTAATCCAGATAGGCGCACCAGCCCGCGCGATGAAATGTGAAGAATCCATGGTACCCAAACTCTTCGGCCAACAGCTTGCGAACGCCAGCGTGCACAAACGGAGCTCGAAACAGAAAGATGAGGTGTTTGTGTCTTTCCCGAGAAGCACCATCGGGCTGGTAATGCTTGTGCGGTTCATCCGCCACGGCAGCCTTCACAAGATTGTGCAAGTAACCTTTGCTCTTCAGCGCTTTTGTGAAGGCCTCCAACAGTTTCTCCTTGGAAACATCACAAGGCTTAAGGACCTTTGCTGCTCGTCGATCTTCCAAGTCTTGGAAAAAATGCCGCGGACATGGCCAAGTAAACATACCAGCATATGCCCTCGCTTTAGCTGGTGCATTCTCAGCCTCTGTGGAAGTGTCGCTGTTGCCCAAAGTCACAGATGGTTTTTCCTCCTCATGGCTTGATGAAGAGGACGAAGAGGACGAAGCGGGCGAAGCGGATCCGGAGGACTTCGACGTGGCCATGGCCTTGGACATGATTAGTGATGATTTACAGTTGCGTGCATTATATACAACTACCATCATAGAGTCCTAAACTTGGTGCGTTTTGTTTGGCAGGAACCACAGTTTGAGTAAACTAAAAGTGCGCCAAAGCTTGCGCCTTCCACGAAAAATGAAAGCAAAGGTTCACCAAACGCTGCGCCTGCCACAAAACCTGCACTTCGAGGTTCATAAAGTGCTGCGCCTGCCATGAAATCTGCACTTCGAGGTTCACAAGACGCTGCCCCTCCTACGAAATCTGCACTTAGAGGTTGACAAAGTGCTGCGACTGCCACGAACTCTGCACTTCGAGGTTCTCAAAATGCTGCCCCTCCTGCGAAATCTGCAATTTCAGGTTCACGAAATCTCCACTTCGAACTTCGAGGTTCCCAAAATGCTGTGCCTGCCATGAAATCTGCACTTCGAGGTGTACAAAGCGCTGCGCCTGCCACGAAATCTGCACTTTCAGGTGCACAAAGCGCTGCGCCTGCCACGAAATCTCCACTTGGACGTTCAGAAAGCGCTGCGCCTGCCACGAAATCTGCACCTGGAGGTTCACAAAGCCCTGCGCCTGCCACGACATCGGCACCTCGAGGTTCACAAAGCGCTGCGCCTGCCACGAAATCTCCACTTTCAGCACAGCCAGCGCGGCCAAAATCGGAGTACTCCCCACACGAAAACGCAAATCATAACGTTGGAATCCAACGTTACGATCCGTTTTCGGCGACAGTTTCACAAAAAAGTGCAAATCATAACGTTGGACTCGGTTCAAAAAAGAGAATTACTATAATCTTTTTCAAACGCGTCCAACGTTACGATTTCGACTTTTGTCCCACGCCTGCCACGTAAAACGAGCATAACGTTGGATTCCAACGTTACGATTCAGCGTCTGGCCACACGTTGGGCCACCTGGAGCTTCAAATTCCGTGCGCCGGCCACGAAACATGAAAGCAGGTTTTCACCAAACGC